AGGTGTCAGGGGGCCATCGAGAGCTGGCTGCCGTGGAGGGAGGTGAGTAGCACACGGTGCTTTGCTGTCTGTCGGGCAAATGACAACTGGGGAAAGTTACTGCGGTTTAGAACCACGCTGTTTGCTGCAGGAAGAGCAATTTCTATGTGTTTTCCCTCTGGCAAAAAACTCACCTTTAAATAATAAATTGCTGGCTGGACTCGGCAAATCAGTTTTTGCTTCCCTATCTAAGTAGCTACTCCCAACTTTCTCCTAGGGTAGCTTATTCTGAGGGATGGGATATTCCTCCCCCCAGGTTGACTTTAGCTACCCCTAAATCCCCCCGCCTCCCCGAACTTCCATGGAAGAAGCTAGGAGCCTAAAGACCTTTGAAGATCTGGGCCATAGTATCCTAACTGAAATCAATTTCTCCTTCCCAATTCTTCTGTCTCTTTGGATTTATGAAAAAAACAAAACACAATTGCAATATAAGCATATGGGTTACATGTGTGGGGTGTGGGTTAAACATTTTCTGGACAAGGCTCCAGTGATTGATAGTGTTTTGGGTTCGATGTGCGTAGCTAAACTGGGTGGATTAATTGTAATGCACGATCTTCTCCACCCTGGCTGCAACCTTTCTCTGGTTGCAAAACAGGATCTAAACATGACACTGTTAGGACTTCAGATTGCTTGAACATGCTCTGTAACAGCAAGATAGCTAATTCTGATGAGTAGCTGATTCTAACACTACACTCTTGAGCGCCCTCATTTGCTCCTGTCAGTTTGTTTCCACTTGAAGCTTCATATGGGAGTCTGTGTTGGCATCCAAAATACACGCCCCAGTGCTTCCTTCTGATTCTGGTGGAAGTGAGCTGCTGGTTGGTTATTTCTTGGATCTCTTTGTTGGTGATGAAGGTTTTCCAACCAATGCATAGAATCTTTTGTAGGCACTTATTTTTGAAGGTGTCTGGTTTTCTGTCTAAACGTTTTGGTAGATCTCCAGCTCTCCTAGTCTCAGTGCTAACATACAGCTATCTCTGAGTTGAAAATCCTCAGTTTTGTTCTGATGCCGGATATCACTGATTTCCATATGTTAAGTTCAGTAAATGTTGTGGATACTTTTCCTGTCCTTGATGTCTCTTCCTTTGTGAGGTCGCCATTGGTTAATATGGTAACTTTGGTAACTTGGGCAAAAAATATTTTATCTTATTTGCTGTAATGTATTTAAGAAGCTCCATTTGACGATAATGTCCTTATGGATTCAGAGCTGAGTTTTTAACAGAACATTACAACTACCAAAATAAAAGCTTTTGGGATTACAGTTAATTTCAAAGAGAAGATGCCAACAGAAGCAGAACTCTCATTAGTGTTTATTACCAATAACATGTAGCTGTAGCTGTAAAGAAAATTTTTAAAAGATATAGTCACTGAGAATTGTGAGAATTTTTAGCAGTTCTTCAACTTTGGTCTACCATTGATGCAGCTCCTCTACAGGGTAGCAATGGTGGAAGCTGTAGTGGGGAGGGGGGGAATGCTGAGTTGTTTTTGCTATGTTTCGTGGAAAAGAAAATGGCACCATATTTATGAGGAGCTATCAGAGAGAGATAAGAAACTGTGAACATGGACTAAATGGGAGAGGTCAGAGGAGAAAAGAATCAGTATAAAGGTATTGGAAGGTTAGAGGAGCAGATGATGTCATCAGTGGGAAAGAGGACAACAAGGGAAAAGCCCTGGGGAGTACCAAAAGAGGGGAGGAAATAATAGACTCATAGACTCATAGACTTTAAGGTCAGAAGGGACCAATATGGTCATCTAGTCTGACCCCCTGCATGATGCAGGCCACAAAAGCTGACCCCCCCACTTTCCCTTAGCTCTGCTGTTGAAGTCTCCAGATCGTGATCGAAAGACTTCAAGACGCAGAGAATCTTCCAGCTTGCGACCCCTGCCCTATGCTGCGGAGGAAGGCGAAAAACCTCCAGGGCCACTGCCAATCTACCCTGGAGGAAAATTCCTTCCCGACCCCAAATATGGCGATCAGCAGAACCCCGAGCATACAGGCAAGATTCTCTAATGAATATAATGCCAAGGGATCAGATAGCAAGACAGATGATGACTCAGGAAAGGACAGAGACCTAGAAGCCCAAGGGTGTCAAGGTGAGCTGGCCAAAAAAATGCCAAATTTTGCGCAATTTATTCCAGTTTTTCAGTAGAAAATTGAATCCGTCTCCCCCAAAATATCTAGTATTTGAAAAATTTTCAGTAACTCTTTCAGATTTTTTGAAATGGGAAAGCCAACATTTTTTAACAAAACTTTTTTGATTTTCTGGTATTTCATCCACAAACTTGGAGAATTTTAAAGTTTAAAATTTTTAAAATTTCCATTTGGATTTTAAAGCCAATTTTTGTAGAAAAAAATGTTTCTACAAAAACATTTTGCCCAGCTCTAGTCTCAAAAAGTATGTAGCTGATATCAACAGTAGACGAAAGATTGAGAATGATGGAAAATATACCCTTACACTTTGAAAGGAAGCGGTCATGGTGACATAGGGCTTGTCTACAAGGTTGGTTTAATTGGAACTTTTCAAATTAATCCACTTTGAAAATGCTTTCATATACACAGCCTAACTCATTGTAGTGTACTAACTCTGCATTTATCATAAACTCTGGAGTCTAGTTTCAAGTGCAAACCTTTGTTTCAAAGCGACTGTTGTTTGTGTGCACACAATGTTGCTGCGAACTACTTTGGCAGTCTTCCACTGGCTATCCTACACTGTTTTGCAGGTGACCGTTACTGACTTGTCGGTTCACCTGTGCCTCCGCTCCTGCTCTGGAGCCAAATTATCCCCGGCTGTCCTCTCCCCCATTTATAAGATGGTGCATAGTCAGATTTTGTCTATTTGCTCCTGGATTCCTGTTTAATCACAATACCTGCAATACTTCAGAAGCCTTATAATGTGCTTTGAGCAGCTGCTTGAAGCCTCACCGAGACTCTGGGTCTCATTGCCTTCTGGGGAGAATTGTTGGGGCAGGAAGCCTTTGTGGCCAGCCACTACAGTAAAGACCTTTTTGTAGTTATTGATAGGCCGATGTCTGCTAGGGGCCATGACTGAGATGCCAAGTGGTGCTGGATAAAAAGAAAACTGCTCAGAAGCACCTATATTAAAATGAGGGACAGCAGGAAAACATCTAGCAGGGGACATGTAACCTGTCAATTTTTTGAGGAGCTGGACAGGATTTTATCAAACTACAGGACCACCTACCCCAGGCAGCGTGTGAAAGCTGCTGGCTGCAATCTCACTCCACACACCCCTCCTCCTCAAGGATGACCAGCAAGATTCATGAGCACAAGGAGGCCAGTGAAGATCTCCCTGGAAACCCTGATCTGTTGGGACTCAGGACCCTGCTGTTAGCCAGGCTGAAGACTGATTCCTGCCCTGCAGCAACCAACTTTGATTCCCAGCAAGCAACCCAAACCAGGACGGAGGCGGCTGATCCTATGGAGGGAACCTTGACATGTACATTTTAATTTTTTTAATGATTTTACTATTTAAGTTTTATTAATTAATTATTATTATTATTATGGTATACTGTCATGCTAGCTTCTGTTCCGGGTGCCCCATGGCTGCAGCCATTGCAGGTGAATGCCAGCTCAAAGCCTTTCTAAGTCCAATGTCCCTCCCTCCCTCCTTCCATTGGCCCATGCTGTCCCATCTCCCACCTCTCCTCCTCCCCCATCGGTACCCCTTTCCAAAGTGATGGCTGCTCCGGCTGGACAACTGGTCTCGTCTCATGCTAAAGCCCCAACTACCAACTATTCTCAGACCCATGCTGAGAAAGGCATGTGCACATGTATCTATTTCCTCCCCACTTCACTCAGCTGTTGTGCCTGGTGGATGTGCCCCCCCCTCCCCCAAAACCATACACAACCAAAAATAAAATACGTTCACCACCGCAAGATGGCGGTCAGCAAGATGACACAACTGCAGTCTCTACCCCACCCGCTCCCATAAGAGTTTCGAATAAGGAAAACATTATTTTGTGTGAAATGTAAAGTTTATTCAGACAGTGGTTACAGGAAA